AAGTTTCTCCATTCATTCTGACTTCCAAACTAGTCTAGTCTGTTCCCAGGGAAAGAAAAGTACTCATTAATTATCTTGCAATTTGCTGAACAAAAGAACATCTAGTTCAACCAAGTTGTCTTTTTGGAAAGACTTTGCAAAAGTAGCACTAGAAGTCATGACAGTTGTTCATGTGGATCTCTCACAGTGATCTTTGTTTCCCTTTTATAGAAGTACTAACTTCTATGCCTACAAGGCTAAAATCTGAGAGATTCCTACAGTTCAGTAAGATTATAATATGCTCAGGGTAATCCCCATAGCCCACATGGTTTAGACATGACAGCAGTAATAGAACCATAGTGATATGGTACTACATCTGCCTTACCATTTCTACTGTTAGACTCTTGCCATATCCTAGGAGTAAGGATAAATTCTCTACATTTAAAGCAGAGAGTCATTGCTGTGATTGATTCTGGGCCCAGCAAAACATATAAGTCTCTATGGTATAAGTTTGTTCTCCCTTCAGTATGGAGACACAAATTTAGACTTGGCTGGGAATGTTTAAAGGGCTTCAAAAATTTAATAGTATCCCAAATGTAAATGGCCTTAAAGATAATAAAATATAGATATGCTTTGTTCATTTTGAGTTGTACTGATACTTACAGTCAAAGTTCACTGCCTCCATTTCCTCACTTCTTACCACTCCACCCAATGGAAACTGTTCTCTTAGAGGTTACACATGACCTCTTTCTTGTTAACTATACTAGCTTTTAATGCTCATTGTCCTTGACCTTTTTGTTCCATTTGACTCTCCCCAACCTACACCACCTACCACCCCTCATAAATACCCAATACTTGATCTCCTTGACATTTTTGTCTTCCTTGCTAACCTTGCCACTAACCTTGCCTACCCTGCATCACCTCCGGCCCAGATTATTACACAGGCCTCCATCTGGTCTTCCAGATCCTGATCTCTCCCTCCTCTAATCCAGAATGCCAGAGTGACTAATCTTCCAAATATCCATACTTTAACCTGACCTCAAAATCCCTTCTTATCTACAAGGCCTTACTTACCTCTCCTGCTTCATCTCCTTTACTTCCCTCCTGGCTCTTTACACTTCAGAAACACTCAGCCTTTATCAGTCTCTAACACACTAAGCTTGATACTTTCTTGGGGGTGTGTACTAGTTTACTCTCTGCCTGAAGGGCTCTTCTCCAGATCATCTATCTCATGGCTGGTTGTTTCTTTCATTCAAGTCATTGTTTAAATGTTCCCCAGAAAGGTCTAACTTACTCCCCAAATAATCATTTTCAAATCCTCACATTTTATTTTCTTTAGAGCCGTTATTACTATTTGGTAGTTGTGTATTTATCTGTTCCTCTCTGTGCCCTAAATGAAATGTTTGCTCTAGGAGAGCAGGAGCTTCTTTTTCACTACTGCTTTACCTAGAAATTCTTATTTTACCGCTTTTCCAGAACCTAGAACAGTGATTAAAGATTAATGAAAACGTCGAACGATGAACAATATAGATTATATCATTTCCATTTTCTCCAACCCTATTCCCCACTATTTCCATATAAGCATACTTTACAGTCAACACAGGTTGTTCTACTGTCTATGGAATTTATTTTCTATGGTGTCAGGTGCATTGACCATTTGTCTCCAACCAGAGACCCTTTTTATACTTTTCCAGCCCTAGCAGAGTGCTGAGCAGCATTTGGTATTTATTTAACAAACACTTATTGATTTATTTCCAACTGTAACGTTATATACTGCATCACTGAGCACTTTTACATCAGTAGAGCTGAAACGGAAATAAAAATAGGTCGACCATAAAACACCAGCAAAAGGGCTCATGATAGGGTGAGAGCTTTCTTAATTTCTAATTCAATTTGAGTAGCAAACTAAAGTTTTTTGGAATGAGGATGTGATGACTAGGAGGGCATACCTTGGAAAAATTTCTTGCCTCCTTCTCTAGCAATTGAGAGGTGGCAATCTTTTGAGTGCTGATCCTCTTCCAACACTAAGGTGCTCAGGTCTATGGATGGTTATCGACTCTTGTTACAATGCCGAAATCATCTTGGACTTTGTACGCATCTTTGATCCCTACATATACTCAATGAATCCATCTTTTCCTTAGTGGCATTTAGGGCTAACATTTCTTTTTAAATCCTACTTGATACTTCAGAATGTAACAAGTTTAGGTTATGCTCACCTGTTTCCTCTTATCCCCCTACCCGCTTCCCCCAAACCCGTCCCCTTGCCAAATCCACCCAGAATGATCTCTTATTGGGTTAAGTCTAAATTTCTCAGGCTAAAATTCAGGCTCTCTATCAATGCTTCTAACCTATCATTTCAGCTTGGTTTTCTGTTTTTTCTAAACTGAACTTCTCGTTTCAATTCATCTGATCACCTGTTTTCCTCATTCTAAGCTTGCTCGTTTTCTTCTCAGTGCCTTGGTTCAAGCAATTTCTTTTACCTTTTTCCTATCAACCAATCTAAATTCTACATTTCCTTTTTTGTCCTTTGACAATGTCTTCCCTTAATTTACATGATTTCCAGCTTAAGATTTTAATTTCACCATAGAATCCTTGGTTATTAATGGTGAATTGTTTATCATTTTGTTTCATATTTTCCTCCCCAGTAATGTTGTGATTTTCTTGACAATAGAGACTTCATAATTCACACAATCACACACAGCTCTTGGCACCTCCTAGGATGAATGTGTTTGGTTGGCTCCATGGCTCCAGAGGCCTGGCCAGAATTGTCTAGATTACATAGATGAACTCTGACCGGGTGAAATGGAGCTTGTGCAACAGGAATCCTTGAAACCAGTGGGACAAAATGGCTTCTGACAGCAAGGCCTTTCTAGTTAATGCCAAGTTGAATTTCATACATCACTCAGACCATGTAGGTAAAACTGCAAAGTCAAAGACCTCTGATGTTGCAAAACTCTATGTAATTGGTATGCAGTAAGTATAAGCCAGATGTTGGCAGGTATATGAGACGAGATCTGAGCTTCAATTCTACCTTTGTTTCCAATTAGCCTGGGTAATATTGAGCAAGCAATTTACCCTCTCTGGGCGTTAGTTCTTCATCTGTAAAATGAAAAGATTGGACTCCAGCTGATATTAAGGACTAGATAATTCAATTATTGAATTACATGATTCTATTTCGAAATCAATGAAATGGCTGCCATAGCCTTCGGAGTTTTTAATATACTGTTCTGTGGGATAAGATTTACTAGTTTCGTGTGTAGTTAGGAATCCTTGCTTTCAGTTTTTTTGGCATTTACCACTTTTCTTTTTCTCATTTTGTGTTAAAGTGGATGGACAGATGGTTTATTAGGCTTTCAAATGCTTGTAATGCTGTTGTTCAATTTACAATGGTTTTAAACTTTGAAGGTCCACATAGAGCCTGGATTTTGTTTAGCATAGAAGATAGTTTTAACTCTTCAATTTAAGGATAATAACATTTACTCAGATAAGTTAAAGCAACTTGTGGATGTAACTCCACAAGCCTCATCAGTTTCTCTTATTTTGGTATGTTTCTTAACTCATTTCCACACCACAGTCTAACTCTTCCAAGTAGCAGTTTTAAAAACTAAGTTATCAGACTTCCAGTTCCATTTGCAGGTTTGGCCTTCTCACTCATTTAACCCACTACCTCATTCCAAATACAAAATCAGAATTCAGAATCACAGAAAAGACAAATCCCTCACTTTACAGACAAATCCCTAACTTTACAGGTAAGAAAACAAGAGACCAACGAGGTCCCGGTGCTCTTTCTACTACATAATAAAGAGCTAAAGTGAGCTATGGTTGCAGGGAAAAAACACCCAAAACTTGTGAATTATAAGCCCCAATAGAAACATCCATTCCTTGACATTTAAGTGTCAATTAAGAGAAAGTATCGATGGAAGGAACTATGAGTAAAAGATGGTCACCCCTGCTATCGCTTTGCTTTGTGATTTGTAATTACTTAATGTGACTCTTCATCTAAGTGGGGCCGCGAATATATAAATCTTGAGCACCCAAACTGCATCTGGTGTGAAGTAGTCAGTATCGAAAAGACGCGCAAAATGTGGGTAAAGGAAAACTTGGTAAGAGGGTTCCAAAAGGGGAATCAGAGGGGGGAAAATTAGGACGCACTGGAAAAGCAGGCGCCGACATGAGAGCACCGCAGGAGGTTGAGGTGGCGGGGAAGTAGCCAGGTTCGCATGGAGGCCCTGAGGCTCCAGTAGGCCAGGGAGAAGAACCGGGACGGTGAGAGAACTGACCCACAGAAAAACTGCAGGAGGAAGCCGGGGCTGACCTAGTGAGCAGCGAAGACCTTCCAGAAGGAAAGAAGGCGCCAATGCGAGCTTAGAACAAGCCCACGGGAGCTGAGAAAGTACACAAAAGCTGAAGGGGCAGACGGCGGGTATCGACGAAATGCAAAAGGGTGTGCGGGGCGTTTGGAAGCGAAGCTAGGCTCTCGGAGTAGGCAGGTGAGGCGAGGATCGGTGGCGACAACCAGAGTTACATAAGCGTGACTCCCGTGGGCTGGAGCGAAGACTGACTCAGGCCCGCGTCCGCAGCATCCGGGCCGCGCAGGGGGCGGAGTTTGGACGCGGGGGCGGACCGGGGGCGGGGCC